CTATTCTTGTTTGATGCCATATAATTCCAGTGCTTGTTACAGTGTCATAAAATTACAGATGTGACAAATATTGTCTCATGCCATAACTTTTATTCTATCTAAAGCAAACAGTATACCACATATGAGTGTTTTAAATATAGACAGCAAAATTGTTCTGAAAGCTGATCTACTTTTTCATGAAATTCAGTATTGAGAGGCTGTACCTCTTGGCAAATAGGAAAGTATATGGTGCAGTTGTCGCTTTCCACACAGGGGTGTCCAGCATGCTTCTGTACTACCGCTTCTTCCACCCAGCAGGCCCCATTGCATTGTGCTCCAAACAGCTGCAACACAGCATGGAGTGTGGTACTCCACCATGCCTGTCAGACCTGAATATGGAGCAGACAGCAACAGTGCGGTCCCTGAAGCACTGCTGGCAAACTGACAAAAATGTCACCCTCACCAGGTACTTTTCACACATGTATCATCTGTCAGAAGCAGACATTTTTCCTCGCTATGCCACCATTTAATATTGGTCCCACCAATTGTCTTTCCAGTGGGTACCAATAGTTAAGTGGATGAACATAATTACTCGCTTCCATCTGTTGTTTACAGTTCATGTAACATTACATCCACTCTTATGCATGCTTTCTTGATGTTGTGGTTCTGCACAGGACAGCATTACCTCATTCAGCTTTATGTTAAATGTAAACCAACTTACACAATTTTAAGCAGAAATTATAGATGCAAATAAGGCAGATGTATTATGCATTTTTAATATAATTGGCTGCTTACGGACTATGTGAAGACAATGTGGTGTGAAAGTCACCAGTAATCCTTTAATGTAATGCTTGTGTGATTTTGGAAGCAATTTTGCAGAAAGTCAAAGTTTTCTTCTTGTTTGTTGATGTATCCAGGCTAGATGGGGTATCACCACAAGAAAGTTCTCCACATTCAGATGATGTGTGCACAGACAAGAACCTGCTGCTGACACACTGGGTGTCAGGTCAGACGAGTCCAAGCTTAGTTACGGAAGAGAAACCTGCAGGAGAGCATGAAGACAAGTCTGCAGTCACTGTGAGTGCCAGTAGAGACAAACGTCGTGGAATCTGTTCTCCATTGGAACTGGGGTTAGATGAGCAGGAGGAGAAGGGAGGAGGACATGGTGAGAGCATGAGAAAGCACAAACGGCGAGGGATCTGCTTGCTGGAGCCAGAAATGGAGGTGGAATTGGATCTGGTTTCTCGTATGGAAGAGGAACCCAACAGTGAGGAACGGAGACAGAAGCGGCGTGGCATCTGTTCACCAGGTCTCTTGGATTTGGAGCTGAGAAACAAGGATGAGAACGAGCAACAGGGGATTTGCTCTGTTGTAGAATTAACTAGAGAAGTGACTGAGATGGAGACCAGCACAAAACAACCTGATGATGAAACACCCAGTGAAGTGCTTTCAGTTCCTAGTGATGTTCTGTCTGCCCATGACTATGAAAATATATGTGCTGTCAACATTGCTAGAGAAGTCTGGGGCCTGCGGTCATGGCGTGGGTATTCAGACATAGAAACTTGGTTACATGATGACAGTGTGGTGCGCGATAGGCGGCGTGATACTCTCACCAGCACAACAACAACTCTGACATCTGCTTCATCAGATCATTCTGGTGGGAACGATTCACATCCTGCATCACCTCCTCCATTACCTTGCAGACGTCCTGCTTCTGGCCCTCGTGCCCTGCGAACTCGACAGGATGATTATTTGGATACGCTGATTGATGACTTAGCAGACTGTGAAACGAGTGTGTGTTTTCAGGAATTTATTGCAGAGGAGCATGACCCCAGCATGTTTGTGGCTCGGCCATATGTTGTAGATCAGCATGGGGCACTGTTTCCCCTAATGACACTGGATACCATCATAGAGGAGCTAGAAGAGTCCAGTACAAGCACAGAAACTATTGAACCTCTCAGGCATGAGAAGCACCATGATTCAGCAAGTACCCTCGTAGCAACTATCAATGAGATCCGTCGTGGGGGATCAATCTGCAGCTTGTACAACTCTGCGGATGTACTATGGGAAGTCCAGTGTCCCTCATTCTGTGACCCTGTCCCTGAATCCCTGCTCACAACCAGACACTCTCGAGCCCATCTGTCCCCAGAGGAGATTCTGTTTTTGTCAAAGCTGCAGCCCATTCCAGATACAAAGCTTGAGTTGAGTCCAATCAGTAAAGGCAGCAGTTCACCCAAGACAAGTCCTGAAGTCATCCTGGATGCATCTCCATACCTTGAATCTGTCCAGGACATGGACAGTATATGCGCTGCAGATAACGTGATAGACAAAGTGGATGACTCAAGGCCTGGAAAGAAAGATGTTGCAGACAGACCATGTCAGAACTTTTCCTTATTGCGTGAGAAGTTTGAATCCAAGCAGACAGTATCTAATATTGAGGTGGACCACAAGACATCATCAGAGTGTCCTCATTCCTGTTCAGATTGCTCTGCAGCCATCCATGATGATTCTGGATTGAACATCCTGTCTGAATTGGAGAGAAAGCCCATAATTTGTCTGAACAAGGAGAATATGACATCAGTGGTTCCAGGCAGGATAAAACAGTGGAATAACTACTTGAAAGCTCAGAATTCATGTAATTCTAGATTGGGCCCAGAGCCTTGTAAAATCATCTGTTTACCAAGCGGTCATGACAGTGACCTTGGTAAGCTAATAAAGCCAAGTTTGCGGGAGCGGAGGAGCATGTTTCTGAGGCAGGTGCTGTCCCCTAGCTGGGGAAAGAAGAGCTCTCTCAGTCCCAATACAAAGGTGGTGCCTGCAACATGACATTCTTTCACCATGAGATGATATCAACTGCTGAGATTATTTACTGTTAATATTAGAGTCCATACCAGAGAAATTTAGACCTCCCACACCAAGTAAATCTTGAATCCAGGTCTGTTTGTTGGGACATTTGCTGCACAGACACTTGAAAGGTGAAGATATGTTGGAGAGAATGGCAGGGGAAATACCACCCCAGAATGGTGTTTTTGATAGGTTACAAACCCTCTTAATGCTAAGCCTAATTCTGTAGGCTGTCATGTTTTACTGTGCATATTTATGCAAATTAAATAAACCACACAAAGGAGATTTCTTTGCTGGAGATAAGAGTTTGGGGATTGTTGAAAGTAAGTACTGTGTCATCCCTTGACATGCAACAGAAAATGAACCCATAAGCATCAGTCAGCTCTAACAGATCCTGCCTCTTCAGTTCAGTTGGCTCACTGGCAAGGAAGGGGTTAATGTCAGTGTGTCTATGCAGAGGTTATATCGTTGCCAGTGAGACATGAGGGTGATCCAGAGTGAATAAGTTGGGAGAATCCTATTGTGACCCAGATTTTGTACATGTCATACCACTTTGTTCTTAATTATGATCATCTTTTCTTGTAGTATGTCTATTGTCATCTCGTCCATTGTTCTGGTTTTTAGTGTTATCCCATCTTGATCCGAATTCTCCGTAGATACGTCATCTTTACTGTTTGTAATCTGTTAACATCTGTGTTAGTTCAAATCATGGTTTCTGCTCTATATGCCACTGTAAGAAAGTAACATGACTTGAATTTTATCTCAAATTTCCAAAATTTAAATGATTTCTCTTGCCAAGTAAGAAAATCTTATGGTTTCAAGGTTTGTTTCTGTTACTTCCTGGATTTTCCATTTGATAGTTTTACTACAAAAATTAGAAATACTTTCAACTTTTCTACTGCGCTATATTTCCTGCACGTGTTTTATTGTTGTATCATGTGTTCTGATTTTGTATTGTTACTTCTTCAGACTTTTGTGCTATTTATAGATTTTATTTTATAGCTGTTTTTATTTACCCTCTCCATAGCCAGAGATTATTTGGCAAAGAGTAAATGAATGGTGCCCCTAAATAGGCTTCAGGTTCTGTCTTATGAATTTGTTAAACATAATTATCACAATTTATTTGGACCTTTGCAGTTGATCCTGGTGGTGAAGAGAGCTGTTTTGTGTGAAATTTGCCTGATTTTAATACACTGAACCTGTTCTTGAATTTTCTACAAATAGGAGCTACCTCAACTCAGAATTTTATTCAGTATTATGCTCCAGAGCTGTGAATGTTTTATCTATATGTGCTTTGTAATTATACACTAGTTGCTTTCAGTAATCATACTTCTTGTGCTTCCTGCATGAGGAGCAGCTTGACTGATTTGGGACAGTTCCAGACAGGAGCAGCTGGGAGCAAAAGATTTATAAACAGGACACTGTCTCAGAATTCTGTGACATAAGACACTGGCTGAAGGTATATGAAAAGGAAGGGTGGTAGGATACTGTCCTGCCACAACATCACCATATTCTGTGCCTTATTGGTGTGTTCCATATTAAGATATATTCTGTATAGACAGGTGTCATTTGTTGTGATTCTAAAGCTGACATTTTAAGACACTAATCTGCAATGTGGAATTTCCACATTATGTTTTTGATTTTCTATCTGGATACTGAGGCCAGAATTATGTCATATTATATATATATTTTTTTATAATTATTAGAAAATGGTATACTTTTTATATGTGAATATTATGCAAATAAAAATCACACCTATTTTAGTACATTTATTTTGTATAGTTTGAAACTTAGAAAGTGAAATGTTGTTATTGTTCCACTGTATGTTGTATTCTTATTTTTCACTTTCTAGATACGTTTAGTCTGTTCTCAGCTAAGAAGTTTTTATACTGTATTTTTTTCAATTGTTGGCCTGTTATTGCAACTTATGCCACTTTCCTTTGTGCTCCAGGAAGCTTCTGGCACCCAAAAAGCAAACCTGTCCACTGTTCAAACTCCATCATTCATCAGGACACTTTGTAAAGCCTCCTCGTAGTTTTATGATGTGCTTCACTTGTTAGAGAATAAAAGTGAGGCAGTAATATGAGAATGAAGACCACTTTTGTTGAAAAGATTTACAGTTTGTGTCCTTTGAAAATGTGACAAAGATAAAATATTCAAGAATAAACAGTAGAAAATAAACACTGCAATCACCAAAAAAATTAATAACAGGTTAAATTCAAGGAATGCTTGCTACCATTCAGATCAGAATCTTTTATTTTCTGTCTCCTATACAAAAACCCCTAAAGATTAAGATACATGAAATATAATTTTAATTATTTTATATGGGGTAAAACTTAGTCACTCACCATAAGGGGTGTTGAGAATATGTGGACCCAAGAGATAGGAAGAACTTAGGAAACTGCATAATTGTTTGCTATTATGTGATAAAATCAAGATGAGATGGGTTAAACATGTAATGTGCATAGGGAAACAAAGAAATGCATACATAATTTTAGTTAGAAACTTAAAGAAAAGAGACCTTTTTGGAGACTTAAAGATAGTTTGAAGGACACTAAAATGGACATTAAGGAAATAGGGTTAATTGGATTCAAATGGCCTATCGTAAGGTCCAGTGGTGGGCTCCTGCAAATTATGTTCATAAAAAGTGGGAAATTTGTTGACTAGTTGATTGGCTATCAGTTTCCCAAGAAAGGTAAAATTTTGTGCAGTCAGACATTTTCCACAAACACCTCTTGTTCTGAGGCAGCTCATATCCTTAAAACATTTTTCCTGGAGATCAAATTTAATATTATCCTCTAGACCCTGAATATAGGTAATACTGTTAAAACACATATTAAATGTAGTGGAATCTCCATTCAGTGTCAGTCTAGTTACCTTGCCTCAATTAATTTGAGCTGTGTGTGCCTTTCTTCATGCAGGCACCTCTGGCAAGCTAACTCAGTGGAGGAGCTCTCAGAGTGGTGTGCCAAGCTGACTGGTGTTGTGTGTGCCCTGAAGCGATGGAACATCACTGCCCAGCATGTCTAAAGTGTGGTGGGTGGGTAAAACAAAGGCACACCACTCCAAGTGCAGATCCATCCCACTAGTGAGCACTCTGTTCACTGTGGTTTAACCTTGTACACATTTCAGAAAAACACAACACACACCTCCATCAGCGGAATTCTTATACTAGTCATGAAGTGATATGAATGTTAAAAATATTTTAAAAATTCTCTGCTTGCTTAGGATAGTTATTTTAATGCATGTACGTTTCCTGTTATAATTTTAAAAGTTTGCCTGTGGACCAGGTATGTGTTTTATGAATTACTTTTGTCAGCTTGAGGATGCGTTTTATTTCAGTGTGATCTACCATTCGTTATCAAGGACACATTTTTTATACAATTCCCATCATTATAATTAATTTTAATGACAATTAGGTAAATTATTTTATTTTTCAAAATAAACTGTTACAAATATAAAATATTCTTGCCAAATCTGATATTACATCTATATTACAGATATAAATTTCATATAAATACAAAAATACAGGTTATGGAAGTCATCTGTATATAAAAATAATCAGTGTAATTGGCACAATGTGCCAGAAACTAAGGACCTACAACAAATGTTATTCTGCATGTACCATAAAATATCCTTGAAACAGAGACCTTCGTTTAACACAGGATATCCTCTGTCCCACAAAGACAGACCACGGTATGTTTATATGGATGATATAAATTAAAATGGTACTGACAGCATTGTCCCCCACTTGAGAAATGTGATTGTATATATTTCTTCAAATTATCGATGTCTGGTCAGTGCCTGGCAAACACTGGATTATGCATTTATTTTACAATTAAGTAAGTATAAATTAGCTGGGAAAGAAGACAACAAGGACCCAAACAAATGACAAATTCTCAACAACTACAACCTTATGTTCTCTTATAAATGTCAGTGGAATGATAGACATAAAAGTAATGATTCAAACAGTTTATACATTTATTAATAATTATATGAACAATGATAAATATGATGTTTCATTCTTCTGACTTCTTGCTGAGAAGTTCAATGTGTTTATAAAAATAAAATATCATTGTATATATTGTGTCATTTAAGTTCAAACCAAATGCCACCCAGAATGTGGGGACATCATCAGTATATCTAGGGTTTATTTCAGGAAGTATTCTCAGAACCAGTCACAGTGGCTGCGCAGTCTGAGGTGCAGGCCTTGTGTGTTTGGATGTTTGTCCGCGTCTTTCTGTGTTGTGCTGTCCTGTGTACAGGTAGAGGCCTTGTGATGGGCTGATCACTTGTACAAAGAGACCAACCAAATGTATAAAACAGATCAAGAAAACTCTGAATGGAGGCCCCTATGTTCCACATAGGAGTGAGAAGAGTGTAAAGAAAAAGAGAAGACGTGTTCTCAAAATCATTAATGATGGTCAATTTTATTACAGGAGAACCACCATCAGATGTTTTTCTCTCATATAGTGATGGATTCATATACTACAAGGCATACTAATTTAAGTTTTGTATGTGTAAGGTTTAGTGTACAAACACATTGTTCCTTTACCACCTAGATCTACACCTATCCTCCTAGACTTGTGTGTGTTTGTAGGACATGATCTGTTAAGACTTGTTCGAAAGTAAAATAGATAAAGGATGGTATAAGACTCACTGCTGTGAAAACATCAAATTCTACAATGTAGGAATTAGTCTGACTCATCAGCATACTCGTCAGTGTCATATGTGACGACACTTCTGCGCTGATGAGTCAAGTTGCTCATCTGTAGCAGGTTGACAATGGCAGAATTCATTGCAAGATCTGTAGGTGTTTGTTGGTCCTTGTTGTGGAGTTGTGAATCTGCACCGTGGATGAGCAGAAGCTCCACAACTTCTAAATGGCCACGAGCAGCAGCCACATGCAAAGGTGTGTCCCCAAGGACATTCTTTGAAAAGAGAACAACATTAGCATTTGATAATTTTTATTCAGGCTTATATGATGTCTGCACTGTGAATACATTCTAGTTGTTTTATTTAAAAAAACATGGATCAAATAGTATTAAGCCACAGAAGAATATATGAACATCGACTTCTGATAAGGGAAATGCTGACTTTGGTAGGAGACTCAATAGTAATTAATGTTGACAAATGCAGAATCCATGTGAGGGAGTATGAATGCTACCAAAGCCTCACTTTGTAGTCAGCAGAAATTGCTAAACAGCTAGATAACCCCAACAGAGGTTACATACAGACTGTCTGACATGGTAACCTACAATTTCCCCACACACCTAATATAGGCTATATAAAATAAATTATGTACTACCTGGAGAAAGGTGTGAGGATACATCAGTTTCATCTAATAGCAGGTGGCCTACTCACCTGAGCACTGACTGCAGACCTGGGGAGTGCTAGTAGCTCTCTGACACAGTCTACATGCCCTGCATGGGAAGCCCAATATAATGGTGTATTCCCTGCACTGTCAAGCCCTGTGCCAGACACTCCCTGCTGCAAGCATTCTCGCATGAAGTCCAGGTTCCCTCTCCGGGCTGCCTCATGGAGGGGCTGTTCAACTTCCTCTGTCTGACTCTCCACTGGAACAGTGACATACTTGAGAGTGTTTGTAATATTGCAGAAATTCCCTGATGAGGATACCTGACTGAAGAAGTAAGCAACATTCACATTCCACCTGAGCCACCCATACAATAGTCTACTCATTCTACCTCCCACCTCATTTGATTGGTCAGCAAGCAATTCACATTAAAGTGAGTGATATTTATTTAAATCAGTTTAAATTAGGTGAATGCATTAATATGAAACCACATTTTTTGATCACTCATATCATGAATGATACCTGTTTCTGTTGAAGGTGTACAAAGAAAACATCATCTGCATATCTCACTATTAATGCTTCAGCACTGGTATTGTTCTAAATCTTAATCATGTTTCTTATCTCATTTCCATATTGTACACTGAATATTTTAGTTACAAACTTTGGGCCTTCTACTTTATACCATACCATAGTTGCTTGGTATGAGGCCTGCCTGGTTTCCACACCGAGCCTTCCACCAGTTTGGGTCTGTCACTTCATCAAACACATACAGCAAGTCTCCTTCTTGAAATGACAACTCATCTGGCTGCAAGATTGCAACACAAAAGTGAAATAAATTAAACAAGTGTAAGCTTGCAGCTTCTTCATGTTCAACTAATGTGATTACACTTACATACTGTGCTGTGTACTTGTACAGAGCCCTCACGACCCTTACGCGGCCTGCAATATACAATCATTATGAGACAGTTTTGGTGCAACATGTTATGCAATGATTATAGAGAAAATAAAAGAAAATGTTCTATGTTAAAAATTATTGTCCTTTCATTTACCAACGGCAAATTCAAAGACAGTGCCCTGATATAAGCAGCGACCATAACCTTACTGAAAAATCTGTTGGGTGTATACATTTAAATTTGTTCCTTGAATACGCGATTGTAATTGCATAAGCACCATATTTGGTTGTAAAGAACATAAATTACATCATGAGTCTACTTTAGTGGTTTCCGATGAATCTGGTGTTCTTCTCATAATATAAAAAACTGACGCACCTACTGCTGTAAAGTGGTTTGCTGTACACAGAGATTAACATATACATTTCATAACAGTGAAGAAAAGTATACAACTGAAACAAGAAATACCTGGCTTTGGAGCAGGTTTGGGAGGGAGTAGATTTTCTTCAACTTTTGTCAGACGTTCCATTAGAAAGTCTTTCGTACAGGTTATAGTACCTCGTGATTGTTTACGAATTTCTTATATCTATATTCTGTACTGTATGCCCATTTTGCATTGAGCAATTGTGTTTGTTCATGGCCGTTGTAAATTGTGTGTTCTACGTTGCTTTGAAACGTAAGGCGAAATATGTCGACTAAAAGAAAGCCCGAGTCCCAAGTACCCGCAGAAGAAAGTGACTTGTTACTTATTCGTCCTTTGTATGTTAATGCTGTTATCTTACACTAGCTATAAGTTAGAATAATATTGATTTTTCGGAAATATTCGATCTTAACCTCACTTCTTTTTCAGAGGAGCCGGTCAGGAGGTTGGGCGATCGTGTATTATGTTGGAGTTTAAAGGAAAAAAGATTATGGTATGTTTAAATACTTAGTGTTTCGTACACTTTGATTTGTAAGCAATAGTTAAGTTTATATCATGATGTGTAATCTAAATTTCTCGTATAACCGTGTTTGTAAAAATTTTGCAGATAAACTGTGCACAACGGCCTTAACTGAAATAGCACACACAGCGGTATGTCTAAATTAAGCCAGTTTACATATTTAGACTTCACTATGCTTGAATTTTCCACGTGCTCGCTTCCATGCAATATTCCACCTAGAATTTTATTTCTTTATTCTTGTAACCTTAATGAATCGTAAATGAAACAAAATGTATCCCTTAAAATAGATCAATGTTATGTTTTCTCCGACCTATCATTTGTTTTAAAAGTCTTTTTGAGATTTCTAAAGAAATATGATGTGAGTGTGTGTACTTGATTCAAGTGTCTCAAGCTGTGAACATGATAATGAAACTTCGAGTTCAATGAAAGACTGGAAATTTCTGACCAGTTGATGACTGTCAGCTTCTCAGCAAGAACTCTGCTGCATGGAGTTTGTTATTAAGATTTTTCTGTTATGTTTTGAATGGATTAGTGTTGCATCAAAAATCAATCCTGTTTCTTTTAGCTCGACTGTGGTATTCACCCGGGATTGTCTGGAATGGATGCTTTACCATTTGTGGATCTTGTTGAAGCAGATGAGATAGATTTGTTGCTTATATCACAGTACGTTGTAAAATTGTTTTTATACCTGATTAATTTCACAGTTTTGAAAAAACTTTCTTCGTGTTACAAGCTGTGCCTTTGTTGCAGTTTTCATCTTGACCACTGTGGTGCTTTGCCCTGGTTCCTACAGAAAACAAGTTTCAAGGGACGTTGTTTCATGACTCATGCAACGAAGGCTATTTATCGGTGGCTTCTGTCAGATTACATCAAAGTCAGGTAACATTGTTACTCATTTGCTAGTTTACATTATTCTGTCAGTGGGCTGGGAAAGGTATGTGTTTGAGGATAATAGCTGATTGATTGTTGATGGAGGTGTTCTGGGCAGTAATGCCTAAATTGCTGTGAGAACCTTAAATTTCATATAGCAGATTGATTGCTTCATTACTGGGTTTAAAATTGACTCAGCTGCATGATAACTTTAATGTCTGCTCATTAAATAAATTAAAACCAAGCTTAAATATAAAATTTACCCAAACAGTCTGAAATTTCAGTACTGGCATTTCATTTGCACTAGATATCAAGGTTATACCACTGTGACTCTGTTCATAAAGATGAAGTACACCTCATGATGCTGCAGCTGTCATTAAAATAGGTAATGCTTCAAGAAATACATTATGGCATGAAACCTCAACCTAGGGTACAATTCATGAATATAAAAATGTGGATGGAAATATACTTGATCACTTTCCACTTGCCTATTTGTACCTCTTTATCCCTCCATTTCTTTTAGCTTCCTGTCCTTTCTTGTATTGTATTGAGGGACCTGTCATCCTATTCAGATCAAGGTTACCAACTAAGATTGCTGTCTAACTTTTGATGTACCCTCCTTTTCTGTCACAATACTGTGGCGGAAGTGTACTTATATCAACAATGTCTCTCTTAGCAACATAGCGACAGAGCAGATGCTATACATGGAGGCTGATCTTGAAAGTAGCATGGATAAGATTGAGACTATAAACTTCCATGAAGAGAAGGATGTGTTTGGGATCAAGTTTTGGGCATACAATGCCGGACATGTCCTGGGAGCTGCCATGTTCATGATTGAAATTGCAGGAGTTAAGGTACTGACCATACATGGAGTTTGCATGTTGTGACATAAACAGTAAACTGAAAATTATCAAGAATATTCTTGCTTCTGTAATGTTTTGTATTTCCTTACATTAGGTTGTCCTTATTTTCAAGCCATAGCTCCAATTCCTGAGTTTTATACTGACTCATATGTATGTTGCATTCTCTAGATTTTATACACTGGTGACTTCTCTCGGCAAGAGGATAGACATCTGATGGCAGCTGAAATACCAAATGTTCATCCAGATGTCTTGATCACGGTATGGATGTCCACCCAAAATTTGCTTTGCATTTATTTTTGAAAGCAGTTAGTGGGTCCTAATGCTCAGTGAATTTTACTAATTTATTAATGGTTTATTTGACACCTCTGACAGTAGCTCAGGTTGTACAATGTCCGATGATTAATGAAGTGCATTACTTTCAGATTTATTGAATGTTTGGTTTAATTTACTTTGTCTTTGTAAGCACATTCATGAGCAGCATCCTTATTTTTATAAATAACGTATCATATTCTACAAACATTCAAAACAACAATATAATTCCACAGACTCTGTTTTCCACTTTGGTGTTATTGATGTTGGACCTGCGGGTTATGCTACCAGGGAGTTAGTTATTTAGCAGTGTACATTAATTTGTATTTATTTTGCAGTGAGAAGTAGATGTGAGCTCAGATTAATTTGAACCCAGTTTAATGCTGTATTTAAATGCATTAAACTTTTATAGTATTTCTTATATACTCATAGATTTTTAGCATAGTAGCTGTGGATATTAGTACTGTGACAGCACTGTACTTCCACACAGTAAGCTAAAACAAAGGAAAAATAATTTGTCACTTGCCATGTCTTTTCCTTCCTTGCCTTCTAACAAAGCTGTGAATGTGAGGAATACATGGCCCCCAACTTGATGTGGAGACCATGTTAAAGTGTAGCTATCATCAGACATAGCAGCAAAATTGTAATTAATAGCTGCACTCACCTCATAAATGATCTCCTTCACCATTGCCAAGGTAGACAGGAAATTTGAATATTCAGTATCTAAGTTTGTTAGTGAGAACAGAGCATGGCTGAGTGTAGTTAGATTCCAAAGTTGTGTGTAACGAATTATGGATTGAAGTACACGTCAGTATTTTGTGAGCCAGAGCTATCATGCTTTATTCCTCCTTTTGGTTTACGTGGCAGGAATCTACATATGGAACTCACATTCATGAAAAGCGCGAAGAGCGTGAAAGCCGGTTTACTGCCCTGGTCCACGACATTGTGAACCGTGGGGGAAGGTGCTTGATCCCAGTTTTTGCACTGGGGAGGGCACAGGAGTTGCTGCTAATACTGGGTGAGTGTGGTGTGCTTTTGCAGGTGCTCAGCCAATTGTCATGCAGTGTCACTCACATTACATGTGTTCTTTTATGTTGTTCCTGAGGTCATATCACTTGTTATCTGAAACTTTTAGTGTGTTCTTATGTAAAGTTAATTGTTTGAGCAGTCTAATATTGTTTGTTTGGATGTTTATTTTTGTAGACAAATTATATTACAAGGAAACCCACCACCTGACCCTGTCATTATCTGGGCCAGGTGGTGGGTTTCCTTGTATCTTGGAGTTCATTGATAAGTAAGTCAGCTAGATTAAATTATATTTATTCGGAAAGATTCACAGGCTGAGGATGGGGTTTAGTAAAGGAGAGTTAATTTTGGAAATTTTAGGTGTCGATGTCATATTTTTGCTATGAAAATAAAATACAACATTCCAGTAGCTTACAATTACATGTCTTATCTACTAGTGGGAGTGAATCTCATTGATAAGATCAAAAAGAATGCTACATATCTGCATCATTAAACTTTTCAGGGTAGTTTTACTCTTTTGGTTATGTAATGGCTATGTCTTTTGCAGATGAGTATTGGAGTCAGCATCCAGAACTGCATGACATTCCAATCTATTATGCATCTTCTCTGGCAAAGAAGTGCATGGCTGTGTATCAGACCTATGTGAATGCTATGAATGATAAGATTCGACGACAGATTGCAATCAATAATCCATTTGTGTTCAGGCACATTTCTAACCTGAAGGTAATGTAATACTTTGCTGTAATGACATTCTGTGGTATACAGGAATACCAGCCAGCCTGTGATTTTCCTCAGCTCCTCCTTAGCTCACCACTCACAGTCACTTATATTCTTCACTGATAGACATCAGTTTACAAGTTCTGGCATTTTTCAAACCTTAACCTCATTTCACCATGTCTGGCTTTCATCATACATTTGAATCCTAGGATTTTCAAAAAGTGTGATAAAGAGGCATAAATACACACAGTTGCAGCTTCTGTCATGCTTTTAATGTTGGATTTACAATTCACAGCTGACTTGTGAATATGCCTTGTGTTAAAATAAATAATTATGTTGTATTTTGTAAAATTTTCTGTTTGAAAAGTCACATATGTTTAGAGCAAAAGTCAGTAGCTGTTCCAGCTATAGGTTTTTTGGTCACATACTAGATTGCAAACACATGATTTTGGGAAGAGTCGGCAGCAGCAGTCAGCTCAGATTGCTGTTAGTTTTGTCACTTGGTTGCCAACTCTGGTCTTCAGAAAAGTGATTTGCATAGTCAAGAATGTTGATAACATCTGATGTATATTACTATCCATAATTGAATGGATTGTCTGTAAAATGATACTCTGCTTTTATAATTATGATTTGTATACTGTTTAACAGGGTATTGACCACTTTGAGGACATAGGGCCATGTGTGGTGATGGCATCACCTGGCATGATGCAGAGTGGGCTGTCACGAGAGCTGTTTGAGTCCTGGTGCACAGATTCAAAGAATGGTGTGATTATTGCTGGTTACTGTGTGGAAGGCACACTGGCCAAGACGATCCTGTCTGAGCCTGAAGAAATCACTACAATGTCTGGGCAAAAGCTGCCTCTCAAAATGTCTGTGGACTATATTTCATTCTCAGCTCATACTGACTATCAGCAGACCAGTGAATTCATTAGAATCCTGAAGCCTCCACACGTGGTCAGTGCAGTGCCAACCTTTATCACTCCATGAAGAATTGCAAACCACATTCTAAAATTATAGTTTATTTCCAGGAATTTCTCCCTTATATTTCCTTTCCTGACTTTGAAGCTTCATTTAAGCTGAATAAATTGTTTCTGCCTTTTGTCATTATTACTCAAGTCTTATATGGATTGACATGCCAGTGTTGGCTGCACCTTTATTGCTGAAAATATTTGAATTTTTTCCTTGTTTTTATTTTTAAAGTGTACTGTATAGTCTTAAATATATGCTAAATCTACAAAGCTTATTTTTAATGTCATGGTTACAACAAAAGGAATGTAATGTCTCAGGTTATTAAAATGTGACACCTATTCTATGGGTTGATAAGTTATTTGTGATCATATTTTATGTAATGATACTGACAGCACGTAAGGAATTAATTTCTCTTCTGGGCATTGCTGCAGTGAAGTATGTTACATAGATTTTTTTAATCATACATTTTTATACAAATAATTTGGGCTACAAACTGACTTATTTGTGTAAGTTTATCTTAAGATTCAATTACTGAATTCAGGTACTGGTGCATGGGGAACAGAATGAAATGAATCGCTTGAAGGCTGCCCTCCAGCGAGAGTATGAAGATGATCCCAACACCAAGATGGAGCTGCACAACCCACGCAACACAGTTGCTGTGGAGCTCTACTTCAGAGGAGAGAAGACTGCCAAGGTGATGGGGACACTGGCCATGGAGAAACCGAGGCCAGGACACAAATTATCTGGAATTTTGGTCAAGAGGAACTTCAATTATCACATGCTGGCTGCATGTGATCTCTCTAGTGAGTTGGAAGGCTATTAACATGTTTACATATGATAAAAATCCTATACAATTCTGGAGTTATGACTAAAACAGTGGTATAGATTTTTCAGGGAGATTTGAGATTCTCATGTTGATGAAGCTACAGAGGTTGGTCTTCTGGGTTGTAATGCCTTTCTTTATTTGTAAAACAATTTCTATGGTCTGGGACTCATTGCCTTCTATAGAATTATCTCTAAGGTTTTCTTTAACCTTATGTTCAGATTTGTTGCTCCAAAGAAGCATTTCTTACAGCAGGTAAAATTGATTCTCTGAAGATATTTGATGATTTATTTATTACACAAATATGTTTGATGCAAATCATCTGAGGTATGTTTGAGACATAACATCTTGTTCACCTACAGTTTCAAAGAGTTCTGTATTATTTCCAATCTTTGCTACTAATATTGAAAATTGTAACAGTAAAATATATCATCTCTGTCTTCAGTCCTGAAGATAGAGGTGATATATTCCATTGAAACATTGGTAACCATCAAAAGAACTACAATGCGTAACAACCTAGAAGATCACAGTCAACATAATTACTGTAATGTGAAACTCAGATCTCAAATAGAATGTAGCAGTCATTTTGACAACTGGTCACTGAAGACCCTTGAAATGTATGTATCAAATAACCTGAGACAGTGAAACCTTTAAAGTTATGTGTTTTAAATGTAGGTGTTTAGAGAGGAGACAGAACGTTCTGAACAGCAGCTGTCACATTGGTTACAGAGTACACAGACATGAGCATGAGTCAGGTGATGCAGCGGCAGAGTATCCACTACTCTGGAGCCGTGCCGGTGCTGCGACATCTGCTGGCGCAAGTTGCTGGCAATGTAGAAGTGTTGGAGGAGAAGAAGTTGCGAATCTTTCAGAATGTAGACCTCACACTGGACAACAACATCGTCACACTGGAGGTACTATCTTCTTCAGACACCCAGTGCTTTTCCTTTTGTGTCAGCATCAGTAGTGCTGTTACACTTTCAACTGCAGAACAGTGAACACTTGAACCATATAGTAGTCCTAATGTAACTTTGCTACAAATAATTTTCCCTGTTCTTCCATTAGCCTCTATCATATTTGGAATAGGGGATTTAAATCCTTGTACTCTGGGGCTACCAACTGGATTTTAAATCTGGGGGTTTAACAATATGGTATGCTACTGAAACACGTGATGAGCTGGACTTTATAAGCAGTGATGCATGGCTGATGGAGGTAAAACCCTGTAACCAGTCTGCTACACCTCATGATGACACTTTTGAATGATGCTTAATCTTGCCAGTGTCAAAGAGTTGTGTATATTTCTGGAGTTGTGGACATATCGTAATTTAAATAACAGATTTGATATCTCACTAACTGTTCTTCAGTCTTGCACTGAACTTCACCACAAGATGAACCTTTTTCCACATGAACTGTACATCAATTCTTTCATTACACTCCACTGGAAAAATTGACGTTGTGATGGAAATAAAGATATTTTGTGAGGTAGATGACCTTTGTGTGTGAGATGTCTTAAAGTTACACAGTAAGAAGACTGTGATGTTATTTGTAGACTGATGGCCAGTAGACACAATCAGACATCTGACTGCTGATACTTCATATCAGCAATAATTACATCTTGTGGGAGATGTATGTTGGAATATAATATTAAAATGAGTTATAGGTAGATTGTGTTGCTGTGAATTTATTTAAAGTGGCTGAGATTAGAGTCTAGTTGTGGTGAAACTTCACGTTGCATAACAGGGAGTTTTTATCTTGCTGAGGAACTGTCAGCTTTTCATGGAAGACACTGTACCGTGAAATGTAGGAGCATTTGAAATGAGAGGGTCATGTGATAATCACCTCCTTATTATATGAGCCATTGCTATTAGTGATGGATTGTTGCAGTAGAAAGGGAACTTATGTCATACAGGTTTGTTTCATTGTAGTGGATAGCAACCCCTGTGAATGACATGTATGCTGATGCTGTACTTGCTGCTGTGATGCAGGCAGAGATGCTGGATTCAACACCCTCATTCTTCCCAGTTCAAGCTAAGATGGATCGCATGCATTTCAAGGTATACATGGACTCTATATAGCAATATTTGTCTTTTTGATTAAACTAGAATATCTGTGATTGTAGACTTTATTTATCACACTTACTATATAAATGTGAGAATACTGCTACTGCTTCATATTCACAATCCAAACAAAATGTTGGTTATAAAGTTATTAATAGAAAATGTTGTAAGTGCAGTTCATGTTCTTATCTGTGTTTCCAGGAATGTCTGATAGAAATGCTGCAGGAAATGTTTGGTGAAGATTCTGTTCCTAAGATATTTAAGGGTGAGAAGTTGTATGTCACTGTGGATGGGAAGAAAGCAAACATTGACCTCCTGAATTTGGTGAGTGCCATGGTGGTGTATGTGTGTGTGATACTGTCCATGTTGTGTGACTCTTACTATGGAAGATTTGATGTCTGTTCCAGGAGGTTTGCTGTGAGGAGGATGAGGCATTCCAGCAGATTGTACAGACAGCTGTAACCAAACTATACCATTCCCTTGCTCCTCCTCGAACAGAATGAAGCCATGTTTACCAAAAGGAATTCTGCAACTATTTATTTTGCTAAATTTCATTATAAGCATAAGAACCAGTTCAACACCAACTGAATTTATAGATTTTTTGTTTCATTATCGCATTAAGACTGTGAATACACAATTGTACAAGTGCAGCCATTATTTGCACACCTATGTGTTTTAATTAAATATTGAATGAGAACTGTGTTTACATTACTACTTGTTTGGTGTTCATTTCCCCTACAACATTTACAAGTTGAGAAAGATATGGAGGATGAAACAATATAAAATTATTTTTATCACATTTTGAATTTTTGTCTGTCTGTTCCCTTGTTTGTTAAAAAAGTGTAGCCCTCCAAACATTTGCCTTCTTATGCTCGCATGGTTCTGGAAGGTTGTATAGTTCACCAGACTAGCTTAACTCTGTGGTTGATGTGTGACTTATGAAAAGTATACACATTGACTTTTGGTTGGATGCTGAATGAGAGTTTTGTGATTTTCCACAGCTTCTTTTAACAAATTCACAGATATTGCACTGAAATAGGTTATGGTTATTCATTTGCCTATATATCCCTTTTTTATTCTCTGTCTCTTATTTTATGTCAAGTAATTTCTGTGATTAATATAATATCATTAAGTGAACTGTGATTCAGTTGCTCAGTCGACAACTAATAACACATTAATTTACAGAGATTTTTGTGTTTAATGGGAGTATGGTCATGAAACCTTGCTTATCATATAGTACAATTTGAACAGTTGCCTGTGTGATGTTTGAATATTCATTCATAATTGACATTTATGCATTCAGACATACATGTGCAAGACAGTTGTACATGTAACCAATCAAGTAACTATTCTAGTTCGGATAGCTGCTTTATGTTCGCCATGTTGCTTATTTGAAAGCGATTTTGTAGATTAATACAGAAAAACAAGTAAACACGGCTCCCTAGGTTCAGGAGTTTGTGTGTGGACATATATATATATATATATATATATATATGACCTGACGACGATATATAAATGGTGAAATATATAGCGAAATAAAGTTATATCCCAGTTTAAGACAAATTTGACGTGAGCTTACTGTCTTCTGGGTTGTAGCGCCTTGTAATCTGGTAGGAGTTTACCGGTTTTTCAGAGGTGTTTATACCAGACTACACGGCACATCAGCCCAGAAGATATCCATTTTCATAAGTTACAAGCATTAAGAAACAAAGTTCTCAGGAAAATATGTGGACCTAAGAATAATATTTGTGAAGTAACTGAACATCTTGGACTATATTACTTAAATAGGAACTTTGTTACTTAGACATGTCCCTTTATATTGTTGGGAATTAAAATCAAGTATTTTAGAATGGGTTCCACATGTATTCTGGATTAACGAGACAAAAACTAAGTATGAAGTTTTGGAAATATCGCTTTGATACCGGGAACTCTCAACGCTTAGGTGTAGCGAAAATGCATTAAGACGGATGTTAAGAAGGTAGTACACAGATTAAGGGCACATGAAAGCAGGTTCTTAGGAGAATATTTGGACAAAGAACTGTGGGACTTTGAGTTGGATAAAACTGGCTCACGATCGGATTTAGTGGCGGACTTCGATATTAGCGATGCTAAGTCATCAGTTTCGGTACCAGTTAGGTTACTGTTGTGTGTATCGCATTGTTCCTGCTGTTGTGAGTAGTGTCTGAGAGAATATATTTCACCTGTAGTTTATATTCTTATTTGTTTCGTTACTAAAGTTTACGGTTATTCTTTATACAAGCCACAATCGTTAAACATGCCGTTGCCATGACCATTACGTTAAGGTGAAAGTAATGAATATCTAGTCCTTACTCTTGCCGCTGGAGTGGAATGTATCTGCTGGTAGCAAATATAGAAAGGTCTTTTATTAATGTCTATCTAATAGGAGACTGTACATTGTTGTTCACATATTTTATTGTGTAGGCGATATGTTAAAAAATTACTTCTATAATTAGCATCAATTTAATATCCATAAGTAACTCTGAAGTCTATAACTAAAGTGTCGCTTTTAAACTTGGCTAATGTTTTCTTGTCTTCAACAGAATAATTGTACTTATGACGCGTTTTTTTATGTTCACTTATCAGCCGCAAAAATCTTCAGTAAAACAAAACGGAAACCAACGGACATTCAGGTGTCATTAGCTTCGTGGAAGGAACTTTGTCAAACACTTGTAAGGCTTGAACTGCAGCCTAGGATTGTTTTTTTTACAGAACGCGAAACGTAAACTCAACTTTTCACTATCCTTTGGCGTCTGTGTTTTTATTATTCCTTTTAAATCTTTATGAGAAATGTAGAAACAATGAATTGGACAAAATTAAACAATAAGAATCTTAATTATTTGCCAACTTCAAATTCTAAGTCCATATTGAATTGGGTGGGGAATGCGGTACGCATATTTATAAATACATACCATCATTTGTTAGGTTTTGCTATGGTTAATTAGTGCGGCACCTTTGGTTACGCCTGTTTGGTTTGTGTCTTTTTCTTTTGACACAGGGTTTTACGTATAGCCAACCTCATTCTCGCTGCTGCTTCTCTGTGGGTATCTGAAATGCGTTTTCTGTGCCAGTCAGTGTACTAGATTTAATGGTTGTGCGCGGCAATTACGATGCCGTACGAGTGCTGTGGTGAAATTCAAGATTTTATTGAATACATGTAATATTTTATACAGAAATCTCGTGTTTGTTTTTTTGTACCGACTGTATTCATAGGAATCGCACAACGCTTTGAATATTTCTTATAGACGTAGGTTAAAATGCGCGGAGTTTTGTGAGTGTTCTCAGAAGTAATTTCGTTGGGACTTCACATTGACTTGGCAGCACGTAAGTTTTACTATTACACAGTTTTTTCATATTACGTAGAATGCATCGTAGTGATCCTAATGTTTCTTAAGCTTCAACTTCTCTTATAATTAACAAATGTTAGTAGCCTCTGTTAATACACATCTGAAGGGTTCTCATGATGGTGTGTTGCAATCAACTCGAACATTACTTTGGACATTGTGGATCTTTTGGACAGAAGTGGTCTTTACCCATCAGAGTAGGCATCCCCTTTCTCTTTACCTTAACTTGATGGCGGAGACAGTTCCAGTCTGACATGTTATGGTCTTTAGCAAATAACTAAGATAATGGGCAATGCGCATAATAATAGTCGAGTTGACTCTTCTGTCACGTTTAGTACAGTTTACACACCATGTTGGGTTGTCTTATTTAATAGAGATCTCTTGCTTAGATACGCTTAAAATTCGATACCCACTGAGATTCATTTATTGAAACATTAGATCAACAAGGATTGATATGTAAAATCAAAAATGGTTTTTTTCAATACAGCTTGCATTGACCTGCAAAATGTTAGCTTACATGTTTATTACGTTATTTTGGTATTTAATTAATTTAAAATTACATAATGAGCTTTAATTTAAAATTTGATAATTTTTAAATTGTGTGCAAGAGTCAATTTGAAATGAGTGTTATGGTAGTGTTATACAATTTTAAGCTATAAACAGTTAATTGGCTTCATAAAACTTTTATGAAATAAAATTATGTGTTGGGAAGGGTGGGAAGTGAATATTACTGAACTAGAACTATGTCATTGCTGTCTTATATGATTTCTACACTTTATAGTTTGAAAATGTGCATTATAAGTGGAAATGGTGTGTCCTTGTTGAAATTGATGGAGTTTAAAAAAACTAAAATTCCATGATAACCATTATAAACACTTTGCATGCATGCTATGAGACTATGGATAAATGTTATCTTAAGTGATATTAGTATTCCTGGAACTTGACATCTACCCAAGTATAATGCATTCATTTTACATAACCTTGAATGTGCAGACTGTCTACCGATTGATAAATTTCATATATAAAAAACAGGCACATGGACACGTTTGATATTTAAAATGTTCCAAAATTTATCAACTTTACTATCTTCTTCTCCCTCCTTATGTCATTTCCACACTTGTGAGTTAGCCTACAATAATATAATTTATGTAACTTTTCTTCATTTCTTGTGGTACCATAAGATCAAATTTATATGGTGTCTAGAAAACTGCAAGAAACATTTTTTTAACAATGTAATACAGAAATTAACACAGAGTTCTGACATGGCAGTTCAAAGGATATTATTAGAATGGATCTCAGGGAAAATCTGGACTGCAATAATTTTTGCTACCTATGGTTCTAACTGTTCAGTCTTCAAGCACTTTATTACAAATGTGAGTTTATATACAAAATGTGTACTCAACAAATTCATTGTAGAAAATACCAGAATGTTGCATAAAATATTTTGTTAGGGTCACTTAACTTCTTGATTATATCTGTGTGACAGCTTAGTGACATTGTGTTTGTGAAGCTTTTCCTCAAGTCATATTTGACAAGCATATAGCTACTCCCAACCCACATTACTTTAAGGGCTGGAGCCCTGAAGATAGACAGATTACTTTAAGTTTGTTGATTAGAGCTCAGATTCTTCAATTTATTTTTGCAGCTGGAGCATATATATGTAAAATAATGAGATATAGATTCCAATATAAAAGCTGCAAATACACCATAGTTTTATGTCTGATGGTGTGGAAGATTATGTTGCTGTCAAGTGATAAATGTACAGACATCTGTCACTGCTGTATGCTGTTGATAATACTTCACAGTTTATCAGTCTTATCACTGAATGCTCTCAAGCAGAACAGCTATTCCTTGTCCTCCTCCAATGCATGCAGAGCCGATGCCAAACTTGCCCTTTCTCCTCCTGGTATAAATAAACAATGTTATTAGTTGTTCCTTATCAATGTGACTGGTGGCCAAAGTTTAAACTTCAGAGTTATCTCAGTACTACTGATTATAAAGGCACACAGCAGACTTGTTACAACAGAGATATTTCATGCTGTGTCATATAAAATGGGGCATTGGTATTGTTATTAGGACATAATGACTGCTCACCTAAGTTCGTGCACAAGATGTGTTGTTATGCGCGCTCCTGAAGCACCAACGGGATGTCCTAGTGCAATGGCCCCCCCATTGACATTCAGCTTCTGTAGGTCTAATTTCAATTCTTTCTGACAGGCCAATGTCTGAGCACCAAATGCTTCATTAATCTGAAAGGGAACACAGACATACCAGAAGCACTTTGACTGGAACAGCACTGTCTTTTGTTTCACTTGTTCCAACTGAAAATCTGATAAATTCAATCTCTGTTTTATCTTTTTAAGTCACTGTCTCTGGGTAGCAGCATATATTTTGAGGCTGTGAGATACAAAAATGTAGTTTCTTCTCCTCTGCATGTGACAAACTAAATCCTAACAACTATGATGATTTTAATGGGATAAGAAAAATAGCCTTTAAAGGAAAAAAGATTAACAGTATCTTATATAATACTCTTTTAAGTCCATGAAGTGGACAGAGTAGAATGGATGAGATTTTTTATTTATACATATGAGTGGGTGTAAATGGGAAATAAGTAATAAGTCATGGATCAGGCTGCAGTGTCTGACCCTGAGTCTACTGTCTGAAACATGAGTCAAAGAAACAGCAAACAGGTGTGTCTTGTCTCATACACATTGTACCAGGCATTGAACCAACAGAAAAGAACAAGTAAAAAGTGCAGTTAGCACAAGCTATGCAGAAGAAGAGTACAACATAAAACATTATTCAGATGGCAGCACACTAAAAAGACTTCAGAAAAATATGTGATTTCCAAGTTAAGGGGAAAACATTTTGAAAATCTCTAAATTCATACAAGTACATTTGTGTTATAATTTTATTTCGAGATGTAGAAGATATTAAAGAGCTGGCCTACAGCATAAACCATCCAGCATATATGTATTTATTTCTTACTGTTGGAAAGAACAGAAGCTGAAAGTTACAATATTTTCAAAGTTCCAATAAGTACTAACTGACAAACAGTTCTTGTAGTGTAGGATAATTAGAAGGAACAGTTTATGCTCACCAACACAGACACAGTTATTTGTAGACATTACCTCAACCAAGTCTATGTCACTGAGCTGTTTCCCAGAGACCTTCAGAAGTTTTTCGATTGCTGGAGCAGGTCCAATGCCCATGACAGTGGGTTCCACTCCAACTACACTGTAGCCCACAAGACGGGCCAGTGGTTTTAGTCCAAACTCATGGACAGCGTTCTCACTGGCTAGAATGACTGCACCTGCACCATCACAGATACCCTGAAATTGCAACCCTATGTCAATGGGAAGTCAATGTGGCTGTACAGACATGTCTACTGGTTCTTATACTCACAGATGAAGACCCAGCTGTGACTACTCCGTTCTTCTTGAAAACTGGTTGAAGCTTAGCCAACCCCTCGAGTGTTGTCTGGGGTCGGGGGTGTTCATCCATATCCACCACTTTCTCCTTTCCCTTCACTTTAATTGTAACAGGAGCCAGCTCCTCCTTAAAGTAATCATTGTCTTGTGCTGCAAGAGACATGGTGCTCATTGTCTGGGAGGCAACATGTAATGGGAAAGATTGGTCAATGACCTATGAGAGCTATATTGAGATATTGTCAATATAATGAAACTGGTCAGTTGAGACAGCCTTTGCTTACTGTTAGGATGGGAATGCAGAGTCTGTGGAAAAGAAACCTGCATGATGGGAATATGTTGGCAGACAAGCTTAGATGGTGATGGGAAGTATCCGAGAAAGCAGGGAGTTATTAACAAGAAGTAACAGTTGGAAAGGAGCATCTGGAGAACTGTGGTTAAGAAGGACAAGACTTAAAATTAAACTCCTAGTGCTAGGAAGAGGAAGAAGGGCCAAAGGAGTCAACATCAGGTGCAGGAGAGATCAGAGATAATGTTCAGTGCTGAAGGCTAGTTGTTCCCTTACATTATCAACATAACAGAAATGCTTCATGATAAATTTTACATGCATTTTCTTCTACCCTTTAGTGTATTACCTTATCTTGGTTCATAGTATCAATAGCAATCACACCATGAGACATGTTCATTCATTTTGATTAAAGTTTACGTTGTACTGAAATTTCATGCATACTACCTTACAGATCATGTTAATTACTATAACAATTATGAACTGAAACGGGAGTTGTACCTTTCTTCCACAGTGTTTGAGATCGAAGAGCAAATTGATCAACCTCTTCTCGAGGGATCCCGTATTTTTCGGCCAGGGTCTCTGCTGTTATACCCATAGGAGTTTTGCAGTAGGTGTCAGTGAGGCCAACCCATAGTGAGTCTTCCAGCTGTAATGGTGTACCAAGGACTGTTCCAAACCTTGTATCTCGTACAACAAAGGGAGACTGGCTCATGTTCTCTGCACCTCCAGTCAGAACCACTCTTGAGTCACCTACTAAAATATTCTATAACAGACAATACATACCCATATTTTGTTTCCCCATGGAGACCTGTTAAGTAAATATGAAAGCCAGTCACATTCTTCAATGTAACAGTTTTCTGGCATAAGGTTTTCCTTGAGCAGAATCAGCTAATTAAAAAATACCAAATACCCTCGCCTGAGCCAAAATGATCCATTTTTATTTTCCAGTACTCATCACTTAACTATTTTAAAAACCATTTTAATATTATCCCTTCATCTGCTCCACAGTTCATTTTAATATTATTGTTTCATCTACTCCACAGTCTCTTGTGTGGTGTCTTTTTCCACACAGTTTTCCAACCAGAGTTTTGTATGCATCTGTTTCCCTCACACATGCTACATATTTCACCCACTTCTTCCTTCCTGATTTAATTTCTCAAAATATGTTGACATTTAGTATACAGGTGTTACCTTCTACCACCATTTCTGTCAGTTACTCTCTTTCACCCCTTTCTAATTCCCTTCCATTTTGTAAGTGAAGATCACTTGTGTGATTATGATGCAGACTGATGGTACAAACAATGACAGCTTTTGTGGTTCTTGTAATTTTTCTCTCTGTTTACTTACCTGTGCCCCATTGACTATAGCCTGGAACCCTGAACCACATAGTCTGTTCACAGCAACAGCTGGACGCTCAATGGGTATGCCTGCACGCAGTGCAGAATGTCGTGGCATGAATGCACCATCTGATGATGAACACTGAAAATTTACCATACACAGCAAAAAATACAATAATGTTTTCAGAAACCAAACTGATAAAACTGTCATGTTTTAATGGATTCTGACAAGTGTCACTAATTTGTTCAGCTTCAAGAACAAAACCTAATATGTCAGAAGTCTTCCTGAAATACTCACAGGCTTGCATTGGAAATGTTATACAGGATGCATGTATTCTAATTAGTTCCATTTACTGCCTTAAATCTAATTTCTCGATTTGACACTTTCATTCAGAACAAACAGATAAGAACTTTTGTTTCTGGTATCCCTAACACTTTGTCATTACAGGTAGTAAGTGGTAACATGTGATAGGGCAGTGATATTTGGAGGAAGCTAAAACACTATACTTACCGCATTAACATTACCAATAACAACAGAGTCAATATGGTCAGGCTTCAGGCCTGCGGCTGCTATGGCTGCTTTATTTGCAACCTCCTGCAGATCTGTTATACTTTTCTTCAGGAACATACCACCATAAGTTCCAAATGGTGTGCGCTTGGCAGCCACAACAAAGACTCCTGTAATGAGAACAACTCACAAGTCTCTTAGTATACCAGGAAACAATACATTGTTGGCTTAGGTCATATAATTGTCACAATATGTGGACACATTATTAGCAGTGTGGGAGGCAGGGGAAAAAACCTGTTCTGTGAAGTTATCACTGATGTAAAAGTCTAGCTTGTTCAGTTGGTTCATCACAATGTTGGCAATCAGAACTTATCAATCTATATGGTCTTATGTACATTACTTTTTGTTAGCGACAGTGTACATGTGGACTTAATCTTCTGTGATGGTGAGGAAAACTTGTTTTGACATTGCTTAACAATGATACAACACTATTAAACTGGGACAGAGTCCTTCAGAAGCTGATAGCTCTACATCTGGTGAAGAAATTCCCTATCTTTCATGGAACCTGAAGACCTATTATGTTCAAACCTGGACCCTATCCTGAGCCAGATGACAACAGTCCACATCTTTATATCCATTTTCTTTAATACTATGCTTCCATCAATAGTTACATTTTTCCAAGTGATCTCTCCCATTCAATTTTCCTGACTAAAATTTTGTTTGGATGAAGTTTTCTTCATTCTTCTGTTATTTCCTGTGTCTTATGTCTAAATATTCTTCTCAGCCACCGTGCTTCCAAATGCCTTGGATGAAAGACCAGGTTTCACACCCATATAAATCAAGAAATTGTTTTTTTTGTTTGTCATCACTCTTTCGGCTGGTTTGATGCGGTCCTCCATTTTCGCCTATCTTGTGCCAATCTCTTCATTTCCACATTTTGTTAAATCTTTAGGTTTGTAAATGGCAGACATGAGCATTAAAGATTCTGAACTGATCAGATGTGAACTTTATTATGTGGCATCAAATGAGAAGGAATTAAGGAAATACCCTTGAGGAGTCAGGAGGAACTTTCAAAAACCTGCTGAGCTTGAACATTTAAATTAAGCATGTGGAATTTTGTCCATTGGTAGATAATAAATACATCTATAAATGCCACTAACAGTTTCTTTTATTTTTAACAATTGCAAGCATGGCGACATCGCGAAACTTTGGGGTTATATCTGGCAAATTAAACGCAGCAGGCATTCGCACCAGTGAAAACTGTTCACATAAATAACAAATTGAATTGTTACCATTATTTTCTTGGTAGCTTGAACAAGATTAAAGCAAGCACATGCAGCTATGCTGGATGACTTTGCAAATTCTCACCTTTGGTTAGCGCTGCCATGACGACGAGTTCAGATCCAATAAGCAACTGGTGTTCGAAAGCTTGTTGCTCAAGGTCGAGGTCTTTTCTTACGTGGTTTGTTTGAGTTGGGAGCGAAGTCCGTTGCGTCGTATTGTGAACCAGCTTTCAGTAGTCTTACCAACTGAATTTGCTTTCCCCAACAAATGTCACTATATTTCGACTATTGCGGATCGTGACACCGTGTAACACGGGTCACATACATCGTCTATTTTTTTAGCTGGTTACCCACGTTACATAGGAACGTATCTCTTCCGTCTTAGGGTACATTTTCAGGTGGTGTGCTTGGACACAGGGGAACTTTACCATACATTTCTCTGTTTTGCGTTTGTTTTAGCTCAGGTCTCTTCATTATGGAAATCTGGAACTGAAACTGTTGCAAAAGATGGTTATCATGTTCATTATGTACAGCTGGAAGAATCAATTTGTCCAGCAGGCACTTGCCTCCTCCACCCCTCTTGCAATCTCATTTATGAGATCTACATTTTGAACTCAGTACCATAGTCTGGAATATGGACATTGATACATGACTGCACCTCATTTCTTCCAACACATGCTTCATATGTGTTTCAGATAAAGTTGAGGTTGTGTTGTTAGATAGGTAGATTATGGTGGTTTGTAGTGGACAGTTGTTCTTGTAAATGATCCTTCATCATGCCAAAATACATGTAACAAATCTATGCCAACAAAAAATAAACTGCACCATACAAGATCAGCTGCAAACATTAACTGACAAATATTTTTAGAGAGTGACCGTCTGTTCTGAACCTTATCTCTGTCCAGAAATATGGACATGATAAAATGGACCAGTACTGAAAGATGTGTAAGAACATGAGAGTTTTAATAAACTTATCACAATATTGTTGATTATTTTTTGCTGCTCAGGAGTTATGATAAAAGGGATGCTTAATATAAAAATCCATGGATATATAGCACAGACTGAGTGACTTCCAAATGCCCAATATAATTTAATAACATTTCCTTGAAAGCAATATGTTGTAAAAATTGTACCAATTTTCTTAGTTACTACATTTGCTTGGGATCTGATAGGTATTAATGAGCCATGTTAAGTGAGTCCCTTAACACCACTGTGTTGCGCATCCGCAGGTTGTGGATGCAGGAGAAAGCTTCTAGATATGGAGGGTAGCTATGAGTATACTGATAAAGCAGTCACAAACAGCCAATGGGTGATGATCCTCCAGTTTAGGGGCTGAGCAGAAGGCTAACAACTGTAAAAAAACAAGTTTGTTACAAATTGTTACACAGCGCCTCAGAAGACTTTGTGGTCTCTTGTGAACACAGTAATCAACCTATTGGTTTCGTAAAAGATAGGTAATTTCTTACTGTCCTATGTGTTTTGTACAAACGAGCAGCAGTTTGTATAACTGGTTACAATAAAATGAGGGACCATGAGTGGAGTTGCATTCTGAAGTTAATATTTTACTTCTATACAGGATAATGTAAGTAGTCTGTGCTATTTTGGGAAAGGGTGGGGATGAGGTGTGTTTGTGCATGTCCACAATTTTGTATGGTGATCTGCGTCTTAAACCATCATTGTGAAAGTAAGTGCGTAGGTGGTTTCTGTGGAGCTATGAGAGCAGTGTAGGTGAGGGTTGTCAGTAAAGAACTGAAGTCATGTGTCTTTTAAATAGCAGTGTAACCTGTTAATGTATCTGTAAATAGTACAGTAGCTATAATGGATAGAGCATCTGTCAAAAGTAAGCTAACCAATGTCCCCATGCATAGACTGTAAGTGGATTGAAATACTTTTTTTCAAGTAGAAATGATGAAGTATTTTATTATTATGTGTAGTGAGTTTTTCAACTGCATCACAAAAATTGTTTATGGGGTAAGGAGACATAGGACTTTTCTTATTGCTGTGAGTGACTTATTTATGATCACATTAGCAGTTCTTAATTTATAAAAATAACAATGTTTGAAGGGACTGTAGATCCATTTTTATAAATCTGTTTCAAATGAGTTCTAACAGAATAATTTATGCACACTTGTTAAAACTGTGTCTACAGATTATGGAGTGTGTGTTTGTGTATAATGGATGAGATTCAAATTATTTCTGTACCAAAACATCCAATGTGAATTTTTAAATGAAATAGTAACACGAAAAGTCTGTTCTTTTTGGACCTTCATACTTTTTGCACAAGCACCTTGAATTACACGAGACAATATTATTTGTGACATCCTTCATGTTTTACTGTACCATCTAGGGATGTGCAGAGAACAATGACATAGGGATCCCAGCTAACTGTCTTTTGAATTTTTACATTGTACAATTTCTTGTTTATAAGCTTCTGGTTAAAAGTATTGGTAAGAATAGTCACTTCCATTTCACAGTCCTCTTTGATGACCTGTAGAAACAATAACATGATTTGTATGTAATGTAGACCTTTATTATTGACTGCGGCAGGAGAGCCACAACGACTTAGTCTTTTTACAGTATTCCTTCTTTGCTTCAGTCCTGAAACATTGTACTTATGCCCTTAGAAAGGCATTGCTAACAGTTTTAGAATGAACATAAACAGACCAGGTTGTACAGGTTAGTATCTTTCTTAACAACATTCAAGGCAAGATCAACAGCTGCATCAGTATAATGTGTCAGGGCTGGTGCATGAAGAAGCAGAATGAAACAAATATTTAAAATATTTAGGCAGGGGTTCCACCCTCTGCAGATCATGCTGTTGGGGCTCACAGCCATCCAACATTGCAAAAAGTGTCCTGCATTCCATAATGGCACTTGAGCTGTCCTAAAAACATGTCAGAATGCAGCAGATGAGCCAAAAGGTGATATAAAATCACAGTACTGCTACATGGCACAACCCTTGTTTCACATTTGAACCTCATTTTATTCTAATGCATCCTCATATAAAAATATTGAGGTCCCAAACAACATTTTCTGTTGTAACAATCAGTCTCAGTGTTTGGGACTTATAAGAATAATATAAAATTTATTAAAATCTTTTTTGATATCTTGCAAGAATGGGACATGGAGGGTTCCATGTCTCAACTCTGCAATGATACCTTGTATTCGTTTGATTTTGAAATAATCCCATGTTCCTCAAATATCTCAAAAGTCTGTTATCTTCACTGCACAAGGCAATTTCAGAGTTCTTTCATACTTCAGAATGCACAGAATGAAACTTTAAAAATGATGGTGTTCTTGCCTTAGTCTCTGTATTTTCAGTATATCTGAGTAGGCCATAAATAAATTAAATTTTCTAATTGTTTTGAAAGGAACCACCAAGAAAGTATTTTTAAAGATATAATTGGACCCTAAATTTACTCTAAATGCTGCAGCATATATGTAACTAATAATTTAAATAATGGATATGTATATCAAGAAGCAATGGAAATGCTTTACAAAACACAAATAAATTACAAATAAAATGAGTATCTATTTTACATTCAAAATACATGGCAACATTCAGTCTATCATACAAAACATTGTAACACTTTCATACTCAAAAGAATAACTCAATTTAACCTTTGGTTGGAGAGTACTAATCACATTACACACATACATAAATTTAATTTACAGTAAAAACATCCAGTGTTCCCATCATATGGCACATTGTCTTCGACCTGTCTGTAGCTGGACTAGGTTATGCATAGAGTATTGTTAAATTGCTTTGTCCTGTTTATAGTTACTGATCTGTTGGAAGGACCAACACCTAGTATGATTTCTTATTCAAATGCATAGATATTGCTTCTGATAACATTATACGACATGCTCCTACATCTTAGTAAACAAGGATCAGGGTGTAGTTGCAGCAGTCAGCTATTTAGCTGGAAACCTCAGCAAATGGAAGGGAAAGATGATAGAAGATTATAAATTTCACATTATTGTTCTGTTTTACTTTAATATTATGTGCTCATATTATTGTTCAAGTCTGAAAACTGCCTATAATTGTGTCTCAGTGTCATACATTTTTAAAAATAGCAGCACAAACCAGAAAGCAAGAATGACTGTTACTGGGATCAGAGTGCCTGTGTTGACCTGCATATGAGTTAAATTTTGGCATTTACTACAGAATTTGGATTATATGAACATAATTCCTGTTTGATGTAAGAACATTGCAATAATTTAGAGTGCACAAATCAATATAGGGCATAGAATGACATTTTATTTTGTTAATTAGTGGAAAGGATCTGTTGAAATTAATGGGAAATGATTTCTTTCATCTTCATCCTGTACCCACTTCATCCTTTCCTTTGTCTTTTTGTATCTTTATCTCCTTCTTAGCTTTTTCCGAATCAGAAAAAAACTAAGTACATGTTAGTATCCTGTCGGCAGACCTGCAGTCAAAATCATATTAGGGTGGCTAATAAATAAATCCTTTGAAAGTGTGCCAAAGTTAAAATATTTTGGAACAACAATAACAAATCAAAATGATATTCATGAGGAAGTTAGGAGGAGACTAAATTCCAGAAATGCTTGCTACTTCTCTGTTCAAAATATTTTGTCTTCCCTTCTGCTTTCTAAGAACCTGAAGATTAAAATATACAAAAAAATTGCCTGTTGTTTTGTATGGGTGCAAAACATGGTCTCTCACTCTGAGGGAGGAACACAGATTGCAGGTGTTTGAGAACAGGGTGTTGAGAAGGATATTTAGGCCTAGGAGAGAAGAGGATGGGGTATGGAGAAAATGGCAAGACTAAGTCAAGAAGAATGAGATGGGCAGGGCACGTGGCATGCATAGATGGGGCAAGAAGTGTGCACCGGGTATTGGTCGGGAAGCCTGAGGGTAAGAGATCGCTAGGGAGACCTAGACATAGGTGGAAAGATAATATCAGGCAGGAACTATGGGAGATAGGAGTTGAAGGAGACTGGATTTTGTTGGCCCAGGACAGGAACCGGTGGAGGGCTTTGGTTAATTCGGTGATGAACCTTCAGATTTCGTACGCAATCTAGTTAGTTAGTTACCTTTTTTCCCATATTCCTGCCTCATCCTGTTATTTCAACATTCTCACCATTCATATTAGAAGTACTTCAAAAATGTGCTTAATGGTAGCAGTACTTAGGAAAATAATATTTTTCCATCTAGTAGTATCATTAATTAGAACTTTTTAGATCACTGTTTTCCTAAGATCCACAACCATTAAAATATCTCCTGGGACTACAAGCAAACAGCCAAAGATAAAATGGATTTTATATAATACAAATATGCAGCAGTGGTCCTGAGAGAGATGAAGTATAAATGCAGAAAGTAGAATGTGAGGGAGTTTAAGATTTCGCCTTATTTTAAGTTTGTTAGATCAAGGATGTTACAATGGGCTGAACATGTAGACTGAATATTCATGACAAAGAGCCTAGGAAAGCTGCCAGTTTAAGACTGAGGACCTGAGAAGGAGATGGGAAGACAGTATCTTATGGAGACAGACTGTAAGAAAATGTGCTGGATAGAAGTCATTCAGGATCATGTCCAGTGGCAGGCTTTGTCATTAACTGTGTTGAATCATCAGGTTCTGCAATATATTATATATATGACCATGTTAAGGAATAGCTACTTAGCGAGTAGTGATGGTAGTTTCCATTGCTGTGAGGTATGTGTCATTGGGTCTGACCTGATATTTTAATACAGTGAGGAGCAGTCTGTTTTATTACAAAGAACATTCATACTATAAGTCTCCAGCTCCCACCCATCCATAATGCTGGTAGTTCTGTGGGGCCACACAAGTAGAATGATGGAGCCCAACTGATCCAGCAGTTGAAGGCATGCAAACACCACAAACAACAAGTTATAATAACAGATGCCACATGATATTAGTATTCATTTTTGTCATGGTTTTTATCGGATATGTGCAGCTATATGCTTCACTTTATTGCATAGTGTTTTGATTGTGTTGAAACAGGCTGGAATCTTCTTCATTTATAATATATAAATGTTCTCCAGTTCTTGTTGAATTAAATAAGTAAATTGCAAACTTACTGAGGAATGGTGCAATTGAAAGAAGACTCTTGAATAAAACCTGCAAAAGAGACAAACAACTAATTAGAAATGCAGTGTTCCAGGCTGGTTCATTCCAAACCTATGCCAATAGTTCCGGTATGATTATAACCTGTGTTAAGATACTGACTAATGTACTGCAGAAATTTCAGTCCAGTATTGCACCTTGTTATCTGAATAAACCAGAGCTTGTAATTGCCAGTGAACTGTTTATTGATAACCCTACTGCACAAACCAACTCTATAAAAAAGGTTAGAACATAACTTCTAGATGCTCAAGATTAGACTTTATTTGGTGTTCTGGATGATTGATAGGTGTGTAATTATGGAAGATGCTGATTTAAGACATGTGAGTTTATGAAAATGTCTGTCTTCTGGGTTGTAGTGCCATGTAGTCTGGTAGACTACAAGACTACATGGTGCTACAATCTATAAGACATCCATCTTTGGACTCACCACTGTTAAAAATCTCAAATCCTACATGCGAGTTTGCCTTTTACATCTCGTGTGGCAAAATTTATCTTGCACAAATGTTGAAGGATAATCCTGAAAGTAGTAGGATAGACATAATAATGGGAGGATGGTGAATACTACATATTGAGAAGCTCATTACTTTGAAAGTAAAGAAGTATGCAACAGAACATGTTGAACATATGTGGGGAAGTAAAAAAAGGATGCAGGATTTTGGTAGGAACACCTAAAGTTGGAAGGTCAATTGAGATTTCTGGATGTACGTGGGAGAATAATATTAGAATTTATCTTAGAGAAACAGATTGTAAACTTGGATTGAGCTGGTTCAGGATAGGTTTGATTGGTTTACTTTTTGAAAAAAGTGATATTTATTTACCAGTTGATTGGTTATTAACTGTCCAAGAAAGACTGTGTAACATTATATTGGAATATTTCTGATTCTGTGCTAAGAAAGATGACAGAAAACAATTTAGTGACTGCATTTCAAAAAAATAAACATGTAGTAACTAACTCCATAAAGCAGAATCTTCTTCAGAAGCAAACAGTTGCTCACCTTATCAGTAAATTTACTGTACGATCTGAAGCTTTCATGGTGACTACATAAATTCTTCTTGGGCTACCAGCCATGTAAGGTGGCTTAATGAAGAAAACACCAATGTTTCGAGAACAATCTTCATCTTCATCCTCAGGGTACAGTAGTTGTGGGAGATCCTGTCCATGCTCACTGTCTACTTGCATTACAATTTTATACAGTACTTAAAATATTTGAGTATACATATTGTGTACCACTTTTTCAAATACACCTTTGCCATTTTTCATGTTTCATAGTGCAACAGTGATGTGTAGCCCAACAGAATTTTCATACCTTAATGTACATGGACATAATTCATTCTTGTTTTGATATGACCTGGTAGTCATAAGTTGCCAGCTCCTCATTTAAATGTATTCACATCAGGTTTGTAAAAATGTCACATTAATAATCAGCATAGGCAACATACAAAATATTTTACAACAAGCACATATTAGGAAATGTTAGGAAAAATGCATGCGTGTATACACATACCTCACTTCTCTTCATCAAAGTTGAAGGAGTCAAAAGCCTTGGTCCACTTGAAGTGTTCATTTGAATTGTTGTTAGAACTGGATTTATCAGCAGCATGATTCGATAATTCTGCTCCAGGATGGGGAAGCGTAGTCATGGTTATTTCATTGCTGAAGAAGTCATCGTCAAATGGATCACTTTCACGGGCAAAAATGTTCACTGATTCAGATTTTCTCAGGCTTGAAGAAGAATCAACCCGCATCAAATTTGACATACGAATTTTCATAGCTGATGGATGTTTTTCAACCTTGTTGCTATCATCACTGTTCCACATTGCACCCAGCACCCTCTTATCTACATGTCGATATTCTGTGGAAGTTTTACTTGATGGTACAAATTCACTACCACTATCAAACATGTTATTTTCAAAGTCTGCGAACTTCTGTTCACTTTCTGCTGGAAGAAACACATCATCATTCAATTTACCATTCTTTGGGTCTACCTCATTTTCACACACAGATTCCTCTACCAAACTTTGCACCCTGCAACTGCTTTTGATATCCTCAAATGGAGACTTTGGATAGTCACTAATGTCACTAGAAATGCTGGACATAAGTCTTGCGTTGGATGTTCGGGTCTCTGTTGGCGTAAAATCATCTTCAAATGGAGACTGTCGATGACTTGATCCCCTTGATGTTCTTGTTTTTCCCACGTCATCATCATGGCTGTCATGGGGACTGGTGGGAACAACTTCAGCAGATCGTGTTTCAGACTCAGAATGCTGGCTGTCCTTCCTTTTTGGGAATGTGTCTGTAGGTGTGCATGATTTTATACTGGCATTTGCAGAGAGAGGAGATTTCTTCTTTGCACCATCAGATGCATCAGATTCAGCACCTTGGCTTTTACTTTCAATACTAAAGTCAAATGTTTGCATTGAAAAATCATCATCAAATGGTGATTTTTGGTTGTAGCCACGTTGTTCATGAGCTTTCTTGTACCGACGTCTGGCTTGAAGTGTTTGTGCCCGTTGCTCATAGCTGTCCAGTTTGCGTACCCTCCCATCCTGGTGGGGCCGTTGTTCGTACTCTTGGTCGGAGTTGAAGTAGCTTTCTCTGCTACGAGGTCGTCCACTGTACTTATCACGATACCTTCTGTCTGTGAAACTGTAGGTTCCCATTTTTTCTCCTTGATCCATCCGACCAATTGTGGGGAGAGAGTGCTGTTGCTTTTCCATCATCCTGGTCTTGTAGTCACCTGGCGAGCTTTTCTCTGTGTTTCTTCGTACTTCTGAAGCACTGCTGGGTCGCTTGGGCCAGTTCCATTTCCTGCATTGGTATCGAGGTGATTCTTCTCCTTGTTCGCTGAACTCATCCTCCCAAGGTGATTCACGTGATCTGTCCCTATAGTAACGATGGTGTCCATCCTGTTTCCGCCTTGTGGCCTGGTCATGCCACATATATTCTCCCTCCCCAGCTGGACACTTCCTACTCCACACATATCCCCTGCTTTCAATCTCTGACTCCCACCGCCTCCTATACTCATCTTCTCTCATCCGTCGCTGTTCACTTAAGTCTCGTTGGGAGAACCTATCATCTTCATCCCAAGACACAGACTCCCAACTGCTGCGTCTGTCACCATCTTCTCTCCAAGGAGATGGCCTACGTTTTTTTCCTTCTTCATAGTCGATACCATTCAGATCCCTGGACCCAAACCTTCGTCTTCTTTCATCATCCCAAGAAGACCCTCTGTGCTTGGGCCTTGTCTTCCAGGTGATTTCATACTCTTCCTCTTCTTCATCTTCTTCATCCATGGAACGCTCCTGCCAGCGCTTACTGCCTCCTCCACTCCATTGCTCTTCTTCCTCATCTCTTCCTTCACATTCCCATGGAGAAACATCTCTCGATGACCTCTGCCCTCTCTTCCATGGGGAGACTCTTCTCCTTCGACCTCTTCTCTCTTCTCGGTATCCTCTGTCCTTAACTGGTGGTACCTCCTCATAGAATGATTCTCCATCACTCCAGCCATTCTCTCTCCATGGTCGTTCATTCCACACACCAGCATCACCTCTCCTATCATTCCATCCTTCTTCTGACTCCTCATCCTCTTGCCATGGGGCAGATCTCCGAGCCCTTCTTCTCCTACCATCTCCTCTATCCTCCTGCCATGCCAATTGTGGAATCCTGTTGAACTCCTTCCCATCTGATGACCAAGGAGAAATTCCACCCTCACTCTGACCTTCTGATGCTAGCTTGTCTGTTGAGAAATGGCTGCCATCAAATTTTGCCCAACTTTCTCCTGCATACGGTATCTCTTCTTCCTTTTGTTTTGGCCCTGCTGGAGAACTCTGAACAGCACCTTTCTCAGAAGGAGATGACCCATTGGCTGCTTCTTCTGATGGTTGTTTTACAGTGTCTTTAGTTTCTGCTGCAGCCTCTTCATTGTCTGCCTCCAGAGCACTGACATCCTCCTCCAGGATTGTCGCTTCTATAATTGACTGGGGATCTTTTCCTGTGGCAGTTTCAAGTGTTGGAGACTCTGTGCTCTCACTTTGCTCCCTTGATAAAGTGAGGAGATTGTAGTCTTCATCCATCCTTGTAACTTCTGCTTCATCTTTCTCACTTGAAGTGTCTACCTCCTCCTTCTCAGGGACAATTTCTTGAAGGGATATTTCCCTTAGGGCAGCATATCTGTCTTCTGTTTGCTGTTTTGGAGGAGATTCTTCATTTATAATTTCTGCAGCAGGCTGAAGAGGTGTATTACTCTCATCACCACATGCAACAATAGGAGTAGAGATCACACTGGTTGTGGCAATGGAAATGCTGGCTGTTGCTGTAGTTGTGGTTGTGGTTGTCGTTGTGGTAGTGGTTGTCGTCACAGTGGCTGTAGTGGTGATCTCTGTCTCTTCTTTGCCGTTTTCTTCCACCATTAGTTCCCTGAACACTGCATATTTGTCAAATGGAGCCTCCTGGAACACATCCTCTGTTGTTTCAGCTATCTCAAACTCTGCTTTAAACATGGGCTCTTCATCAACTGACTCTCGCAATGTGGCATACTTATCCCTCTTGATTCCTTCACTCTCTGTCTGATCATTTTGAAAGTTGCTTGAAAGCTGTGAAAGACATTTTGTGAGGTCCTGAAGTGTCATGTTAGAGAGATGTCCAGGTGAGACACCAAGTGTGGCTGCAAGGTCTGCCAGTCCACTCTTTGTCAGTTGACTCAGTGTAATATCAAGGGACTTGGTTTGACGAAGTTTTGATGGCTGCTCATCTGCCATAGTGGTGGTAGCAATGGCTGCAGACTGCAGCAATGAGGCAATTGTGGTGGCTGCAGGAGGATGGGATTTGGCAGCCTGGCTATTTTTGCTTGGATCTGAGGCAGGGCTCTTCTTCTGTGGTGGAGGCAGCAACGGGAATAGGGGTAGGTAGTCATTATCATCAAATTTAGTGACTGGAATCTGCCTACGAGGTCTCTGTGGAACAGTTCCAAAGTTGGAGTCTCCATACCTTGGTCTTCTTGCAGGGACAGGAATTGGAGGACTTTTCAGATTGTCTTCATCCTGCATTGTGGGCGATGACGAAGTTTCATAATTCTCTATGTAGTCATAGTGTGGGTGCTCATCAGTGTGAGGGGGGCGAGGTGGAGGCTTGATTACTGGACCAGCCTGTTGTCTCTTAGGTGGGAGTGGTGGGGGCTTGATGGTAGTGATGTTGGCTGCAGGGCGGGGCGGAGGTTCTGGAGCAATTTCTGCAAGCTCTATGCTGGAGGCAGACAGTCGTGAGGCACAGTCTCCATCTCCAACATCTGGGAAGCAAGCCACAACAGGAGGAGATGGTGTTATGGCACCACGATTACGTAAGGTGATGCTTTCCAGGACACCCTGACCAGATGGTGAGCGTCTGTCAGATCTTGGAGGTGTGGGAGGTGTAGGAGGGGTGGGACTGGATTGCATGGGGTTTGTGATGCTGCCACACACATCCACTGTCATCTGCCTTACCATACGGTTATTGGAGCACTGTATTGACTTTGGGCTTGGAAACTTTGCCATAGTTGCTTGTTTGTGGGAATGCTGTGTCTTGCTCTTGGTTTTGCTTAGAGTCCCTGCATGCACTGAAGCATATCGTGCTGTAATGGGAGTAGCTTTGTTGGGTGAGGGCTCTGGTGGCAGTGAAACACGCAGTGGTCCATGGAAAGTGGCTGGTGAGGACGCAGATGTGTCAGATTGAGGCAATGGAGAACTTCTCTTTGCATCCTTGCTAGTATCAGTCATGTCACTTTTCTGACCTTTCCCAAACATTGTGAAATCTGCAAAACCTGTGTCAAAGGGGTCTTCCTGACTTCCTGCTAGAGGTGGAAACTCACAGATCTGGCTGAAATCATCTTCAGTGAAGGGATCAGTTTTATAGAATGGATCAGTTTCTGCAAATGGATCAACATCAAGGACTATTCCTTTTGAAGTTGCTAGAGTAGTGGCGGAGGTTATGGGAGCAGAGCTGTTAGCAGTCACAGGATCTGTAACAGGCAACACAAACTCCTGAGTGGACTCCATATCATCACTTGCATTCACACTGCTGCTAACTGTTTCAAAGGTAGCCTGGAAAAGAGGGGCAGTTGCCTCACTTGTTGGCACCTCTGTTACCAGGTCCTTCAGAACTTTCTTTGGCGGGTTTTTAAGCTCCTGGAAGAAGTCCTTCCTATCCACGTATGGCTTACTGCGCCCAGTTCCTAGTGGATCCAGTTCAGTGAAGACATCAAACTGGCTGCTCCCATTTGTCTGTGTTGGAGGACTATCGCTTGGGTCCTGTGAACAGACAAATAGGTTTATCATATGTGACCTTTCTGAAACTTAATTTAACTTAAAGGAATTAATATTTGATTCCACATGCAGTAAATAAAACCATGCAATGCATATACTTTTTAAATGCATCCATCTATGTAGACAATCAACAGATGTACCAACTAAAAAATAATACTACCATGACTTCCACACTAAACATTGTGAAGAGTAAAAGTAATTTATAAATGCCAGCATTCATATTACATTAACACTGTAATATTCTGTTTATGTCTGCCACCAATTATATGTAATGCTTTTTAGATTAAGTGGACATCAGGTAGATGTTAGGGCAATTGTGGGAGCTTGATTGCTGATTTCAATGGCACACAATAGGTATTTTCTTAAAGTCAGTGAGTCTTATGCAAATATTGTGTAAGACATAACATGTGTTTTCTGGATACCCAAAACGTTTATTGAAGGCATTTTTCTCTGAGGTGAACACTTCATGAGGTACATCCAACAATGTATGTATGTCCTTACATACTGTGAGCTGTGTAATTCAGATCCAGTGGGCAGTATTTTCCTTTTCACATCACTGGGTCTTAACATAAACACAGATTCAAGTTACTAAGTAAAGAGTGCAGACTCAGAAATGAAGGGTCACTGTAGAAGGCACTACTGTCTGAATGTGTTGCAGTGCTAACCTTTGTTGTGCTTCTGGACCTCAGTGACATGTCTGTGGGCCCCCTCCTTTCATTGTTTTGCAATTTTAATATTGCACTGCTTCAGATTGAGTAGTTCCTGGATATAAATCTCAGCCTGAAATTAGTCTATCCTGACTTAGAATTTTCATGGTTTACCTCAGACCATCCAAGGAAATTCTGGGATATTTTAAGATAGTCCACTACCACTTCCTTGGCATTCCTCTTGAGTTAACTGGTCACTGTGCTCTTCAGTGCTTTTTACCCAAGAGATTAATAAAGCACTGCTAAATACACTGGAAACCAGTCTCAGAGAGTGAGCCATACATTTTGAAGTACCTGGTCTGTTTTCAGTGTGGTGGCTGACACAGTGCTTGTAGTGGTGGCTGTGACCATTGAAGCAGCTGGCATTGGTGGAGTGATCAGTTCCCCTTCATCAAACAGGGATTCTGTCTCTTGGTCAAACCAGTGTTTTTCTTGTTCAACTGTTGGTGCTGCTGTCAGTTGGGCAGGTGCTGCAGGCAGTGGCTTGACAGTGTCTGAACTATACCGTTCTGAGCGGGCTACATTGCGTCGGTGTGGGTGCCTTGTGGGAGGGGGGACATTGAATGGATCCGAGGAACGAGAAGTGTCTTTTAGGGAGGGTGGAGGGGGAGGAATGGTTACAGCTGTAGACTTTGTGCTTTTAGGTGGTGGAAACATGGTATCTGGGGTAAAAGAATCACCAAATGGATCACTTCCAAAAGGATCCTCTTTGGCTGCTGATGGTCCGAATGGATCTGATGGTGTTATCCTCTCCATCTGATGAAGTCCTTGTTGAATGCTGTTAAGCTCGAATTCCAGATCAAGAAGATCGGCTATCACTTCAGATGTCTCTTGAGCTGACTTTCCCGATGATACAGTTCCATTCTCATTGACAGAATCTTCCTGAATTGTCCTCATCTTGCTCCCAGCCTCATCAGAGATGCCTGCTGCTCCATTCTGTAACACATAGCACCAGCAAGTCACAGCTATCTAGTCTGGTCATCTGGCTGGACAACGCTCACTGGCTGCTCTGCTCGGCTTACCTTGGAATTTGACCCTGATTCCAAGAAGAGGGTTCCACCAAGCTTGATTTGGTGCTGCTCTATGTGCTGCTTTGCCATCTCTATTTCCTTTTTCTTCAGTTCAAAGACCACTTGGAACAAGTCTCGCATTGCTATCACAACCTGCCAATCAAAATAAGTTTAATATTTCATGATTCCAAAAGTAAAAATCTACTTCCCAAGGTTCTGTGTCCTCAGTAACAACTTTTGGGAATTGGAAGGTCATAAGATTTAGGCACAGTTGGGAGGATAATGGGACATAAGGAAATAGGGTGAGGGTATGGAGTGGATTCGTCAGTGGGCTGGTCACTGACAAATGCATGCTTCAAAAGACCAAGAATCCTCCTAAGTGGGGAGGTCATGGCCCGAAAACAGGCCGAAGCACCATAGATGATGATGGAGTGGATTCATCTGGCTCAGGATAGGGACCAGTGACAGTTTTAAACACAGTAATGAACCTTCAGATTCCATAATAGGTGGGAATTTCTTGACTAGCTGCATGACCGTCAACTTCTCAAGAAAGATTCTGCTTCATGGAATTAGTTGAGAGTAAGGCTATGCCACTTGAAATCATTCCGAACACAGTATTTTTGAAAAATTTTGAATATAAATATAGGTTCTTATGATTTTGTGGGATAATAGGACTTGAAAAAGTACAAATTTTGTAGAAGTTACTTTGTAGAAAGTAAAGGAAATAACATACCAACTGCATGAAATATAATTATAAACAAATGTGTGTTTGCTGTCTCATTTGTTGGTGTTCTGCCTATGCAAGGAGCATTCAATTCAATCAAAAGTTATTATGATTTGAAGATTTCATGAAAAAATGGCAGCATAATTTATATGAACCTGTTATGTAATGTTTTTGCCTTAATTTTAAGTATGGAAAGTTAATACCTATTCTTCATCGATGACTGTATGTGAAGTGGTGATGGAAGTTATTGTCAGAATTTCATACATTTGGCACTGCTTACTTGGCTTGCTGCCTTGTCTGTCTTGATTCCAAAGAACCTGTGCCCTGTATCTGGAGATCCAAAGATGTAACCAAAAGCCCTGGAGTCAGACATGTCTTGTGCGATAAAGGATATCTTGTGAACTGGGTGATGATACAAGCAGTCCTGAAAGAAAGGGAGGTCTCGTGATTCAGTCACTATGGAGTATTTAAACACTTTCTAAAGATAATAAGCACATTTCATTGTATTGAATGTTTTTGAAAACTGATGTTTGGTCTGTGTTAATGACTCTACTTGATTTAGAAGACATCACATCATGTTCATCAACTCTTTCACACCTGATATTTTCACTAGGAAGTTGAAAGTTAAATTTCGTTGTTCAGTACACACCATTAAGTTAAGGATAAACCTCACTCAAACCTCTGAACTACATTTAAATTTTTGCTGGCCAGGACAGGGACTGGTGGAGGGCTTTGGTTGATTCAGTGATGAACCTTTGGGTTTCCTAAGTCATCTAGTTACTTAGTTAATTACTGTTGTTGAAACACAGAGGGAAATAAACTATTCTGAATAAATATCAACATTTTTGGTTGTATCTTCTAGTAAAAATCTAACAGAATTATACATGCATGAATACAATGTGCAGTCAGTTTTTCAGGAGGTTTCTGTAGGGAATGGAGAGTGTGTTATGTTATAATTTTCATAATATGCTGATTTGTCTGGTAACTGTTGCAAAATATGCTGCAATTGAGACTTTTCGATCTGTTGTAACTGTTACTGTTGTGTGCACAAGCAATTCCTGGTTTACTGAGGTCATGGTCACACATCAGTTTTCATTTAAACTTAAAGGAGGTCAAGGTATATGCACAGACAAAATTCCCATTTATGCATTTAAACACTAAACAAAACTTGCTGCTGACATATTATATTGTGAGAGAAGTGTTGCCTGCAGATTGATTAATTATGCCTTTTAAACTTCAAAACAAAATTAACTTGGCTTCTGTATGTTATACTGCTAAAGTGTTTATAATTATTCTCAGAAATATTACTCTTCCGTACCATGGCCATATTGTTCATGAAAAGAACTATGGCATTTATATGTGATATATTTTATTTCAAACCCTGTAGCCACATACCCCTGTTTTTTCATCTCTGAGACGAAGGCCATCAATAGCAATATTGATGGTTATTCTCTGTTTGTGCTCTCCAGCTGCTCGAATCGCCATCTTGAGATCTGCGAGTGCTTCCTGGCACATCCTGTCCCCCCGAGCCTCACTTACTTCAAGAATTCCAATCAGCTTTGCCTTGAAGCTCACCCCTATTCCCAAGAAACGTGAGGGTTCATTCTTGTCTGCAATGTAAAGTGATAAGAAATAAAATGTCATTAGCAACGTGTCTATATTCTGTTACTTAATACTGTTAGGGCAGTTATATCAGAAAGGTGGAGTTGTGTGGGAGATGCTGGGTGTATGAAATCCTATAAAATGTGTTTTGAATGCCTTGGAGGAAGATAATGAGAACCATACAGATTGTTGTGGTTTTGTGTTTAGCACTACATGATGAGTGCATTCCAGCTTTAATTCTTGGTCCATAGGCTGGCTATCCTGATTTAGGTTTTCATGGTTGCTCAGTTACTGCAGGTGAATATTGAGTAGTACCTTAAAATAGGCCACTTCCTTCCACATCAATTAGTCTACAAACATTCTCTCTTGTAACTGTATATAACCTATACATATGAGAAAGTTGTTACATTAACCAAACAAAATGTAGCTTGCAGAATGTGTGAAGATGTGAAGTGAACTTAGCTGGCTCTGGACAGGGTTTATTATTAGAGATATGTAATGATGAAGTCGCCCCAGGTGGACTAGTGGTTAGCGTGATCTCCACTGGACCCAAGGTTCGCGGGTTCAATCCTGGCCAAGGTCGATGGATTTTTAAGGGTGATAGCACAACTTCCTTTGGAGGGGAAGTAAAGCTGGCAGTCCCATATCGTAGATTTACGTCATGTAAAAGAACCTTACGGTCATGATATGATATGTTTCTTAAGCAAAATTCAGTGGCCATTTCTCACCCAAGTCTCCTGATTAACTGCTAGATGGCTCTGGCAGTCAAATCAGTGTTGGTTAGTTTAAAACCCACCATGCAATTGTTGTGCAGTTGTGAAATTAAAGATTACCTCTGTCCTCCCCTACAGAAAATGGGGTTTAGCACTCTTATTCAACTTGCTGTGTATGAAATTTGGTAGGCCTGACCCAGGGTTATGAAAGTTTGTGACTGCAGCAGCCTCAGTGCTCCCACATTTCACTTTAGACTGAAGATTGATATCATGCAGCATCTGACACATTCCTGAACTTTTCAGTAATGATCATGATTTGAAGGTCATATAATAATCTACAAAGGTTTGGATGTGAAGATAATCAAGAATAGTAAATCACTGGGGAGTTTTTAAGGCAGCTTCTGTACGGCGATTTGAGATATTCTCAGGAGAAGCACAAACATCCCATTTTTCTATTTCGAGCATTTGTCTCCTAATACAAGCAAAGTGAGCCACATAGTCTAGTGCTTGCAGCCCCAGTCAAAATATGTGCTCAGCATTGTGCAAAAATTATCGACAAGAAGGAATTAAATTACAGAACTATAATTTTGTGAACCAAAAATTTTGGATTTATTCATGGTGGAAATGCATATAGAATGTTGGTAGGAATATATAAAGAGGAGATCCTGTACCATGGAGTTACTTGAAGTAAAGAGTAATTTGTTTTGAACATTTAAATCAGGTGCAGTGATTGATAATGGGTTGTAGGAATGTTTGTGCTTGTACACCTGGCATAATAATGAAATTTTGTTCCTATAAGTTTCCACTGTTTTCTGTAGCACAATGGGTAGAACAAAATGACACGGCACTACTTGGACATCATAACTCAGTGTGAAACTCTGTTTCAAAATTGTGACATTGAGGCACTGGATACAGGTACTACCCCAGCATTCAGCTGGATAGACTGAAGAAAACAACAAAAGACCCTAGTCAGGATAGCTGGTTCTGTAGCGAAGTGTCAAAGCAGGCATATCGCAAAAGCAAGACATGAGTAAACATGCTTAAATGAGAAGACTGATGGAAATGGGGAAATTTCCTGATGCCAGCTACCAAAGGATCACATTCAGTGTGGGACACTTCTCCAAAACACTTGCTGTTAGGAGTGTGGAGGGGAGAGTGACACTAACCTATGTAATTACATGATGACACACAGTGAATGGGTGTACTCACATTTACAGGGACTTGTTTTCTTGCGCAAGGTTTGCATGTCACACACTAACAACACTGGCTACAGTTCACTAGAGTTGGAGCATTACCCAGTGATTTTCCAAATGGAATAATTTATTCTGTTTTGATGACCACCCAGCACTCCACTGTATGCTCTCCACTCTGCATTGATTTCTGCCTTCGGGAAGGGTTATATACATTTCATTGATCCACATCTGTGGCAGGGGGAGGGTTGGGGCAACTGTGCCATGCCCAGTGAGGTCTGATCAATACTTTGCAGGAAGATGGCAGTCTTGTTTATGTCATTGCAGTGTGTACTGCTCCGATGTGAAGTGACCAGTGGACAAGTGTTGCTGCAGTCATTACAAAGAATGGTTATTGTTTGTTGTGAGGCGCTGTCCTGTAATTTACATTTTTAGGAAGCAAAATACAATCAGGCACAGCTAGGTTTGGGATTCCATCCTAACACCTCTCAGCACCCACTGTTTATCATGGTGAATTAGTCTATAATTTCAAGTGTAAACTATGCCACTTTTCTCTGGAGCAGTAGACACATGCTGTACAACAAGGCTAGTTTCCTTCTTTGTATATAACTAACTCCATGGGGCAGAGAACTTTTTGAGAAGATCATAGTCATTTATGTAGTCAAAAAATTCATGGAATTTTTTGAAGTCAGAGGTTCATCATTAGCGTGTTCCCAAGAGCCTGCTCTCAGTACCTATCGTGAGCCAGATGAATCCAACCATGCCAAACTGTATAACTGAACTATAACGATAAGTCAACCAGAGAATAAAAATTGTTGTATTTTGTATATTGCCATTTTAACAGCTTCCCTTCCGTCAGTAAAGATACGTTGTTTATTCAGTTATTTTATCCGATTATATCAAATTTTGATGTTGTGTGGCAGTGAATGAACTGTGAATTATAAAAATCGTAAGGTTTGTACCAGGAAGTTGTTTTGGCCTCTTTTAAGGTATGCCCCCTGCATTTTCCTGAGTGTGCGAGTAAAAGCACGAAAACCCGCTGGGTATCCGGTGTGTGGGCTGCATAAATTGCGGGATTGCTTGCTGTACATGGGAAGTTCTGGGATTGTGTTGGCAAACCTATAGGAAAGTACGTAGTATTTCAAGATCTTTTCTCCAAAAACAACGTTGCACGAAGAACGTGTTTGTAATGCGAAGTATGCGTGCCGTTATTGGCTTCGGGATTCGTATGAAATGTCTATAATTTATTTCAGCATTTCTTTAACTAATTTAAATGCGTGTTTAAACACATGTACTAACTAACAAACTGTCTGGTGGCAGACTTTACAGGTGACCTGCACAACTCACGCAGCTCCTCATTATGAAATATTCTAAATTTCCTTCTTATTTCATCTCTCCTAGGTCCAGATATCCTCCTGAGCACCTTGTTTTCATACACTTGTAATCTACGTTCTTCCCTCAAGGTAAGAGACCAAAATACAAAATTATTGTTTTATGTATCCTGATCTTTAGTGTTTTGGATAGCGTACGAGGTGATAAAATTTTTTGAATTGAATAAAAACAAGTGTTCCCCGAATGTATTCTGCTCTTAATTTCATCATGGACCTCTTTTATCATCAACATAGGCAAGTACTGGGTGCAGACCATTCAATTCGAGCCCTTCCCGATCCCCTCTAACCTTCTTGATGACGTGTTCTACAGGAAAATTAAAAAGCATTTGAGATAAAGCATACTCCTGTTTTAGGCCATTGTGCACTGGGAAGGGATCCGACGGAAGGTTATCTATACGAAATCTACCGGATGCCCCATCCATACACATCTTAATTAACCTAACAAATTTATGTTTAATGGATAGGGACAACAACTGATTCTTTCCGCTGTTGTGGTAGTACTTCTTGGTTCCAAATCGAGACTGTAGGCTTATGTATCTCTGAGTGCAGTGTCCTACCACCTGCATGGATTTGTTCTGCTAGAATTGAGTTGATGCCTGGAGATTTATAACGTTTTAAATTCCCAACGGGAATTTCAACTTCATTAAGGCTCGGTTCCGGGATGAAGGGCTCTGCTATATGTACTGCAGGCAAACAAATGTACTCGTGTGTATTTTATGTGTTGTCCAAAAATAACCAACTCTGGCAGCAGGACTTGAAGATTCAACATGTTAATACCGAAGTCGGGCCACTGGACACGCCCTGAGCCAGTTCCCTTCAACTGCTGTATCAATGTTATAACCCCCATCTTCTCGGCTGAGAGGTATCTGTAGCAAAATTCTGTGTGGATTTCTTGTATCTGCCATCTAGATTTTATTATCCTAGCAGCAGTAGGTGAACTGTGTAAATTGCCGAGATCCTCGTCATGTATT